GGAGTACCTTCCTACTCCCTTACTAAGGTCCTCTTAGTAGGAGTATAGTTACGTAACCACCTATACTAATGTAACTAGGGTAGTCACTTAACATCCTTTAGTACGTTGGCCTCTAGGTCCTTTACTAGGTTCTTCCCATATATCACCTTTGTCTTCCTATAGTAATTCTGTGTGATCATAATACCCTAACCTATTAGAACTAGCTACCCTTCTAGATTTAACATCTTAAATACCCTTAATATGGTAATAGGAACTCCTACCTCTTCTATGGACACGGGCAACGCTACAGTAGCTTGCTGACTACTATAACCAGAGAGAGAGGCTGGCGTGATTTATCCCCCCCATTTTTGAGATTTGTCCCCCGCCGAAGTACCAAAAATGGCAACTTTTGCGCTCCGCAATGCAATTTCACCGTAACACCACGTGTAATTTTTATCTTTAAAGCTTGGAATACGTTCTACATGCAGTAGCGTACCTCTCGCCAGCATTTTATAACTTCCGACAGCGATGGGAATGAGCTAAATGGAGTTGAAGTTCGCGATTTCTTCGAAAATGTCACCAACTTTAACATGCAATTGAACTACAACACAGGCTGATCTTTAGCTTTAAATTTTTTAGGAAGCTTTGTGAGGCCCTAGAGTAACTTATGACGTCTGAAAACCTATTTAAGATTTTGCTGGTGTTAAGTTGTGTGGATGCAAAGCAATTCGGTACTTCGGCGGGGGACAAATCTCAAAAACGGGGGGACAAATCACGCCAGCCTAAGCCCTAACGTACCTCACGGGCGAGCTGGCCACACGGGCGAGCTGGCCACACGGGCGAGCTGGCCACTATGCCAAGACCCCACCAAATGGCAGCCAACGGTAGTCGATAGTAGCCCACAGTAGTTATTAGCTGCTACTAGCAGCTGATCGAATTAATCAGATACTGCTTCTATATCTTTCTCACAGGTGCGCGAATTGTGCCCAGTCTTACCGCAGCGTCTACAGCGCCTTCGTGTTGGCTCGCCCTCATCAACGCGCGCCTTCTTCTTCGCCTTCTTTCCATCATCATGCGCCGCAAAGTCCTTTAGTGTAGCCAGCCGTACGCCCTCATCTACTATAAGTACTCCTTCGTGCTGTAGTCGCTTTCTTTTATGTAATTTCCGTCGTGTTGCGGCTTCATTAGCGGCTTAAAGCTCAGCAATCTGCTTCTATGCCAATACTAGCTTATGCGCAACTACAGCTGCGCCTTTCGCCATCTTCTTAAAGGCCTCAACTATACTTGTTAGGGAACTATCTAGGTGCCTTTGAATCCTCTGTTTCACGAGCGTTGATTAAGACCCAAATTCTATATTGTTTCTAGGTGTCTGCGACTGCCACTGGCTGCCTGGTATTAGGCTTGGTACTGGGCTCGGTATTGGGGTACGTAGGCGGATGTCAAGCTTTGGTAGCACCACCTGTGGGTCAAGGGGAACCAGTCCAGCGCCTCAGAAACCTCCTTGGATGTTCTCTTTTGTAATTGCAGCCTTAAAAGTGGTAATAAAGCAAGGTAGGAACTCTATTCTAGTAATGTGCGCGATCTAGTTGCGTATTAGATACTTGGCTTAGCGCCCATACGCCTTCTTCAGCGGCGCAAAACACTCTACGTTAAGTGGCTGCAGGAGGTGCGATGAATGAGGCGGCATATAGAGAGTGATTATCTTATTGTCCTTATAGTACTGCTGGAATTCAAGCGAGTTATGGCTCTCATAGCCATTGATAATAAGCAAGCGTGCTATACCAACAGTGCGCTTCTTTGTGTGCTTATCAAAGTGCTTTAGCCACTATAGGCCAAGTTCATTTATTATACCAGCCGTTCTTAGAGACTGCGATTACCCAGTAGGCAGGTAGGTTCTCCTCTTTATACCAGGTGGAGAGGTGGTGCTTAGCCTAAAAGATGAGGAAGGGTGGGATCGGCCAGCCCATTGCGTTGATGCCTTGGATCGCTGTCACCCACTCCCGGTTGCCCTGCTGAACGCTCTTTGGACTCCCTCGACGTTCAGAGGCTGTGACTACTGCCTCGTTGATATTATACCAATCATGAAGCCATATTCATTAAAATTGTAGGTGTCTTCATCTAGGATCCCATGTGTGGCCTTCGTGTTCTCCACGAGCGAGAACCAGTCCTGGATAACCGTAGGGTCTTCGCAGAGAGCTCTCTTATAGTCGTAATTTCGATTGAACTTGACTTCGAGCTCTGGCTGGCGCTTTACGAAGGTTGCAGGCCAGTTTTGGCCGACTGGGTCCCTATGCCGCGCAGCCAGTAGAGAATTGGCCATATCTCTGATACCATCAAGGTGGGGGGGGAAACCCTCGCGCGTCTAGGTCAAGCACATGCTCAACAATCACCTCCTTTTCTGTCTTGAGTAGTTTCATTGAATTGGGTGCGCAGTCGTGTCGAAAGGTGACTCCAGCGTGTCGCGTGCCTAGTGTACTTCGGGAGACACTATAGATAGCTGCAGCGCGTCGCTGGGATAGTGTCGCGTCTTGTTTAAGAGCCTGAAGCGCGAGCTGTATTCTAGCTTCTTTTAAAGTAGGTAGCTGTTGAGGTAGTTGAGATATCATGGCTGCTGTTAGCTGCAGTTAGCATCTCGGCATAGTGGCCAGCTCGCCCGTGTGGCCAGCTCGCCCGTGAGGTACGTTACGACGCAATAAATCCTAATTATAGACATTGGGATGCGCTTTAAGTACCGATTCGACTTTGAGATGACGTTTTTGCGAAGCCGCAACCCAGTGTCGTCGCCCGCGTAGACACCATAAGAGAGGGTCATTTAAGAATTTAAGGGTCAACAGTGGCTCCAGCTCATAAAGCAATTGAATAGTAACATGCCTCTGCCGCGGTTGTCTGTTTACCTAAGCACTCGAAGGCGCTTGGGTGTGCTTGACTGCGCTTGCTTATTGGACTTCTGTAGCTGCACTGTGTTCCTAAAGAATCAGATTCTCGGAGCATTGATGAAGTTGGGTACCGCTGTAACATATCTGCATAAACCCCCAATATAACGTGGCATTTCGGGGCGTGCGGGCCCCTAATGAAGCACCCATGGTAGCAAAGCTCGAGAACAATTTCCCTTACACTCGCGCCAATAGAGCCCTCCACGCGTTGATGGAGTCTTCGCTGGCCCTATCTCCTGGTCCCTCTAGACGGACAGTAATTCAGTTGTCGCCTAGACTCTACTGCCCTATTACCTTCCGAAGTCTGACAGTCGTTAGACTCGCTTCTATTGTAATGTATGCTTGCAGTATACATCGAGCGTCCCGGTCCTTCTCCGACGTCGGCACCTACTCAGGATCTTAACTCACGGCGTAGGGCTTCATTCTCTCGAATGAGCTCGTTGTCATGGCAGGCAGCATGGGTGGGATTCAGAACAGTGTCGAGGGAGCCTTCGGCACTATCCAGCTTCATAGGTGTGACTGACCCCGGGCTGTATACGGGAAAGAGCCGTGGACTGGTTGGCATTGCCGTGGGTCTTGGGATTGGGCTCGTAGTGAGCTCGCGTTTATGATGATTTTGCCATTGAGTGTCAGTGTGCCAAGGAATGTGTGAACTTGGGGCCGGGGTTGTTGCCATGTTAGATTCCTGGGATAGGAACTTGGTTGGATGATAACGGGGTAATGAGGGCGAGTTGAGTGTGGGAGCAGGCCTTGCTGATTGCTGATTGCTGACTCTATTCTGATCGACCATGTTGAACCTCTCACTAGTTGCCTGTGGCCTTTATTGTGAAGCACCTGAAATTTGTCGCGAGGTAGATCTGCAATCAGTCGAGCACTTGTAGCATTAGATAGTGCGTCCCATTTCTTTCCTGATCGAAGAATACTATGTATAGGTTCTTGAGGTGGTGTCGGAACGTAACGTCATATGAACGTCTTACTTCCCCCTCCTGCGCTAAGCTCTATTACAATGAACGAATAATGAGGCCGGAGAATGCCGTCCGTAGGTTCTTCAATTTCTACAATCCCGTGACGGGCCGTGACTTCGGTGATACCTGTGAGCGAATCAAAATACCGGGCTTGTCACGGGGTCTCTCTTATGAATATTTTCTAATGGAGCCCTTCGCAATCTCCGCCTTTCCCGTCTGGAGCGAGCGAGCGAACCATTACGTGATACTATCGCCCAAGAGAGGCCACAATCTCTCCACCAACTTGCTGGCAGGCCGTCTCTGCTCGGCTCGTAGCTCGAACTCGCTCGAGTGATTGTCAGCTTTTCCTCTCCACTCTGCTTGTCTCGCTGGTCCCGTTACCACCCGGCGCCCGTGCATCTGTTCTATTCCTAATCTGTAAAGGCTTTACTGTCTGAGGTTCTGTCCATGGCGTAATTGGGGCTGAAGAACTCCTGCCTAGTAGTGGTCATTTAATGTCACAGTAAAACGCAGTGGTCCGCGGCTTGACTGTGCAGGTTTGAATCCATGGCCTGTGCAGCATGCGGGGTAGCTGCTACACGCTTATGCGACTGGGGTTTAGACGCATGCGGGCACTACTAAGACTGGTAGCGGGCACTATTTGACATCCACGTCAGCCTTCCGTTAAACATATTTACGGTTACAAATCCGTATCATGCCAAATTCCCATCGCGTCGCGGTTCTACTAGTTAGTCCCTTCCCCGGGCAAATCGTCGACGGTCGTACGTCATCGGTCGTAACTGCAAGTAAACCTAGGCGCAGGCTAGCCATAGCCGGACCCGTACCACGGATCCACCATGGTGGTCATATGTCGAGATGTTCAAGTGTCTTCTGTGATGAAGGGCTTTATACAGTGCAGCTAATGGATGGCTGTTAGTCGTTCAGCACATTACAGCATCACGACGTCAGTAGCTACGGATCTAGAGAGTCACGCGCTAGCGCAGGAACCCCCTCTGGATGGGCGCAGAACTCATGTTGCTATCGCAGAACACAATGCTGTCCCTGCATCTAGCACTGCAGTGTGAAAGGGCCGAGCCTCGAGAAAACAAAGGCCTACTGCTGGTAAAACCACAATCCAAACAGGAGGGAAAGGCCTCATCCAGCATGTATCAAGAACAGCTGCTCTCGGGTAGCCCCTTGGAGAAGGACGTTCCTTACTTAGCCTCCAGCATCGGCGATCAAGCTGCCGAATAAGAATTGGCCTCAGGGTTTTGCGAAGCGCCATCCAACTACTTTATTGGACCCGCAGCGCCAAATCGTTGCCAGAGGCTATGACTTGACAGAAAAAGGGAACAAAAATTCAAATGCATAACGTCCAAACCTGCTTCGTTTCGTTGTTGAGATTGCACCGATCTGTGATCGGCAAGTACACAGAATTAGCAGTAGACTAGAGACAGATATATTTCAATTTGTCCTATGCTATCTCCAACAGTTAACAAGCCCTCTTAGGTAGAAGTCTTTATTTACAAAAGTCGTCTGGTACCCTAGGATTCTGTAGTCTCCTTTTGCGCTGCTTGTTTTGACCGTGCATTTTTACTTGGTTGACATATCACACCCGCCGATTTCGAGAGCTTGTCCCCGCCGTGAGCTGCAGCGGTTTGGCCTAGCGGCTTCGTACGGACCCAGTATCGTTGGATATAAAAGCAGACACAGGTGAAGCTGGCACGCAGCAACGGCGCCTCCCGCGACTCCACCAGTGCTTGCATCGCACCGGAGCATTGGCCATGCACGGGCACCAACGAACCGGTAAACTACAAATTAGCGTACCAAACTATGCCCAGCCAACCAGAGGAGACGAAGAATCCCAGTGGCACGGAACCGCCCGTCCAGACGCTCGTCGAGTTAGTTCCTGAGCAGGCCGCTCTAGCACCAGTTCGCAAAGCTTTCTTTTCCGGTCTGTACTGTCCATAGCTGGGAAGAATGTCGTCTGTTGGCTATCACGGGAATAGCGTAACTGTGGTATGGTTGCTTTTAGTGTCTGAACCACACAGTTCAGACGCACCCTAGTGGATGTACAAATACAGCTCGGTATTTGGCTGTAGAAATCAACCCAGTCCTCATCCTTCTTCCCCACGCCTCTAGATCTTCCCAGGACCATAATTGTTGAGCATGCCCACCAAGACCGGTACAAGCAACATGGGCCCTTCGGCTGTCTCTTCCAATGGCTCGAGCAGTGCCAGCAGCGGTAATTGTACGTTATCCATACCAACTGCTAAAGATGCGTGAGTGATAACGTCGTCCGAATGTAGCTTCCGTCCAAACAGCTGAACCCGACAGCACGCCCTTTCCTCTACCAAAGTTCGACAAACCTCGGCCACACGTATGTGAGACATGCCAGCGCTCATTCGCCCGCCTCGAACATTCGAAGCGACACGAGCGGTCACATACCAAAGAGAAACCGTTTGAATGCCCACAGTGCACTCGTTGCTTTGCGCGGCGGGACCTGATGTTGCGACATCAGCAGAAGTTGCATCAGCAGGGCGCGACTCCCTCGCGGCCACGCTCCGGTCGGAGGAAAAGTACGACCGGGCTGCCTGCCAACAGTGCCGCCAGGGTACGGAAGGACTCCGTCGCAAGCAGTGTCGGCGGTCCGTCAAGCGCCAATTCCTCTCTGAAGCCCCGCACAAACACGATCAGCCATGTTGATCCCGCTGCGCTGAACAGCCTCCTCACATCCCACAACGCCTCGCTTGGCCACGGCAGTAACCCCGGCCATTCAGATCATGCAAGCCTATCTGGATTAGGAGAGCCTAGCGCGTACGATTTCCGGAGCATGTCAAGCGTTGGTGGTGGTCATGGACAGCATCACGGGCTACCGAATCTCGACACCCACCTCGGCTTCGGCATGGGTGGCAGTCTGCAGACGGCACCCATACTAAGGGTTGGTTCAGATGAATTCGAGTCAGAGCCGTATTTTAGTCCCTCTAGCTCAACGATAAGTCCAAAACAGTTGCATCATTTCAATGCAGGCAAGGGGAACGCGCAGTCGCCGTTCAATATTTTCGGGAATCCGTTCGCAGCAAATGCTATTGACGAAGACGGCCTCCCACGGAGTACTGGCCTAGACAGCTCGATTATCTTCCCAGAGCCCAACGGTGCTGTTGGCGGCGGAGCTTCTCCATTAGCAATAAGTACCACGAGCCAAAGCCGTCTCAGTGAACTTATGGTGGATGGTTCGGGGCAGACGTCGGGACAGCCGACGTCTGCACCCATGTGGCACCAACCATTAGTCAGACACGCAACCATCAATCCCACAGGTCACGCCACAAACGCTATTCCGTCGGTGTTTGCAGAGTTTATGATGGACAACGATATAGTGTCAGCCAATGAGCTGGCAGATTCAGGTGTGCCGGCTGATTTCTACATGTCAACACGCCCAGCCTTCTCCACCATGAGCCCTACCGCAGGTATCCCGGGTATGCTGAATCAGTACTACCAACCTGCGATCACATTCAATTCTGATTCCGGCAGCATATCATCCTCGTCAATAAACGGTAGCGCCAGGCACAGTTCACTCACTTCTGTATCCAGTGATACTTGACGGATGCCACGAGGCAAGCCTTGGTCGTCAACTTGTTGCAAGCACTCGGGTATGACAGTTCTCAGCGCCGAGGTTTCTCAACCGCAGATTCGCTCGCCACTCTCAGCCACCTCAGGGGAAAAAGCCCAAGTCGCCTCACTTCCGCGCACCATGGATCACCAGCGATACGTCGCCGTTGATATTCAATACTTCCACCCTCACCTACCATTTCTACTGTTCCTATGCTATCTCCCGACACGCCAGTGTATACTTATCAGCTCTATACCGCCGGTGGCTTTAATCACGATGGCATGTTGGGTGGAGGCGGCTGCCTAATCCTTACCATGGCAGCCATAAGGGCCCTTTCCGAGTTCGAACAGTCGTCGCCAAAGACCTCTTTGAGTCAGTAAAGAAGATGGTCCTATACTATCTGGATGAGTGCCGGCGAGCCGGCCTGTCGGCTGCGGTGAACGGACGGGCGCTAATAAAAATTCTGTGAACAAGCCACCTGTCAGATTAGCGCCTCATTGCCGAACAAGGGCACGTGATCGGCCCCCACCCTCAAAATAGGCCTCAAGCCTGCGCGTCAATAGGAACATACAACATCATCATCAATCCATCTCATTCATCAGAACCACATCCCCGTGAGCCCAAATAGTGCTCGAATCTGACAATTGCAAAACCGGCAAAAGACCGTATTACGACTGCTTGGTGTAATAATTCCCCGCGTACCACTGTTTCCAATACCGTGCCACTCTTGTGGCCCCATTTCCGCTCGACATGCCACTATTTGACTCATCAGGTGATAAATTTCTATCTGGTGGTCTGTTGAGCAACCAGCAAGTTCACATGGGGTGCATTTGAAAGGGCATAACTTGTTAAATCTACATTTCTATTATTATTCTTACTGCTGGTCTATTCGAGCTCTTTTTCTTGACCGCGTTGACAACGTAGGAGGGGGCTCCCTCTCGATGACATTAGCCTCTTCGTTCTCGCTTGCTATGTGTCTTTTGTTTCCCTCTAGTGAGTTCGCCGTGACATGATATGATTTTGGAGATGGAATTGGGTGCTGCGAATGTGAAGTTATCAGTCAACGCAATAGTGAAGTTGCTGGATCATTCTGAGAAGTGCCGCTTGTTTGCAGCAGCCCATCAGTATCTGGCCAGGGCCGGCTTTTGTTGGATCGTGCGACTAGTAAGTCTAGAGAGGACTGGATTGTAAGGTCGGCTGTCCTGCAAGCGTTATTGGCATTGGTAGGGTATAAGAGAAACTATTATTTGCTGGTTCTATTCTCAATCACTGCTTGCCGTACAGCTCCAATTTGAGCCGCAATCTGCAACCGGTAGCGTTCTTCAGCAGCTTCGGTTTCACTAAGGCGCGCATTCATCGTCCAGATTTGTTGCCAGAGAGAATCTTGATCTCTTGATCCTGGTGATTGCATAATCGGGACCTGCTGAGTAACAGCATGATCCTGGTTCAGAACATTGTGAGACAGTTGAGACGATCGTTCTGATCAGCTAGGGTAAGTCGCCGAGGAGATGCAGCCTGGTCATGACCTCTAGGTTGATTAAGAGGGTCATGAACCTAGTCTGCTCTTCGTTCTTGTGAATATGTTGTGCCTGATTGATATCGATTTCGCGCCTCGATCTATTGCTCCCTCCCCGTTGCTTGATGATACTAGATTTCCCACCCTCTGAGCCTGCGTCTCCCGTGTAACTCGTTTTAACATTTTCTTGACTGGTCGACCTCGCGCAGGGCCATTAGGGGGTGGTTTTGTGACGCCGTCGGGTTTGCGATCGTCTAGTAACTGGTAGTAAAGAGTATTTGTACTGCTCATGGTACTCAGAAATCTTGTAGAAGCTGGCAATATGATCCTCAGGTTTGACCTTGAAGAAGCGGCGCACAGCAATTGCGTGTCTATAAGGGATCCTATGATCTTGAAATGCGAGACACGAACACTTTTGAGCCTTCAGCTGTACGAGACGAGTATTTTGGTCTCCTGGGTTGCCAGGTATACGCTCGCAACGAAATTTTCGTGTTCCTGACGAGTTAAAATATACTGCCTGCTCTCCTCGAGCTCCTTCTAGGAATACGCCGTGGCATAATTTGTATACCTCTGATCTTTTTGCGGCCTATGGCGTCTTTCGTAGAATTTCGACATCAGGAAAGTCCAAAAATGACGATGTGTTAAGGATTGGTAGGTTACGGGCTTCCATCCATGCGCTATTGATCGACTCAGAGATGTTGCAGCAGGTTTGTCCAAACCGTGGGAAATCGAGCAGTGGTGCGTACGACGTTGTGTAGTGCTCCCTAATGATCTGATCTAGGTAGCGACGTGCAGGAGCGGAGAGAGACTCGACCTGGTCGAGACAAGCTTTGAACGGTGGCGAGTCGTCATCTTTGCTGGCGACATCAACGATGCAGCCCAACAGTCCAGGCTTGACAAGGTAGGTTACACGTGGCGATACTTCACCGCAAGGCTCATGTATACAGCTTGCACAATTTGAACCTTTGGCTCGGACCTTTACACCTTCCAGCGGGGATATCGACTATCTCATCGAGCCAATCGTTTATTAGAAACACAGCAAGAGCAGATACCCGGATATCACTAGCCTGTGACAGGAAAGTAGAGGAGACGAGGTAAGAACGTCTCTTGCTAAAAGGGTTGTGCTTACCTCTGTTCAGATCTCCATAAGGTATACGTAGATGACGAACATTACAACCATGGGCATGCCCATGCCCATGAAGAATATGTTGTTGATCCAGAAGTAGGAGCCGTCGTCCTCGTTAGACCAGATCAATGTAAGCACTTGTACCGAATACCCGGATATATATAGCTAAATCCGCACAGATGTTTCTAAGGTCACGACAGTGGATGACTTTGGTGGCATCGAACACTTTTTCAAAGGATGTTTCAACGAGAACAGGACCTTTAGCGGCAAGCTGTAATTGGGAATATGCTGTGTCTGGGATTTGAGAGAGCATCGCACGGTGTGAACGACTGATATGATGAAATGAGAAAGTTCATAAATTAAAAGTTGAGTACGTGATATCTGACGTGCGCATCTTCGAAGCTCTTGGTGCTCGCATTCGTAGTCATGCGTTCCGCCTTTGCACTCGACGGACTGACCGGGCCCATCTGAATCGTGACGCTCTGCACCCATAGGTGTTGTTCCGATGTTCCAGGGAACGTCTTTTGCTCCAACTCAATCCGCGAGGTCGGAGGCCCATATATCCTCTCTTCGCTCTCGCTTCTCTGTAGCTCTAGAATGCTTCTTGAGTTCGACACGTTGATGCTGACGGTCTTGGAGATGCCTCCGTGCTGCGGGTTGCTCTTGAGCCCGATTCTGGACTTCTGTTCCGACCGCCGGTTCGATCGCCATGCTGACCGTTGCAGCGATCCAGATAGGTAACGTCCATCGTAGGAGTTGTGAGGCCAGCTGCTGAGCCTAAAGATGCGTTGGACGAGCGGGTACGTGAGGGGTAGGTTCGCGCAAAGGAAGGCGGTGTAGGACTCGCGGAGGTACCACGCAGTCCACTCAAGTCCGAAAGGATGCGTGAAAGAGTAATATTTGTTCAAGACAGCCGCGACAATCTGCTATCGTCAGCGAGAGGGCTCGGGTCTGGTGAACATTTTATCTCACGTTGAAGGTTCCAATAAGGAATATGCCAATCAAGATCGCCTTATTCTTCATTGGTAGCTTAACTTTGAACAGGAGGGGCATGGGGATTGCTATGATCATGAGATCCGAGGAGATGTTGAATATAGCGTTCGTAATAAGGTGATTTGTCGCTGCAGAGCATTGGGGATTTGCGGCAGGGACAGCCCAGTACTGCGAGAACGGACGGCACCAGACGCCGAGGTAAAGGATCTCCATGACGACCTAAAGTGACTTGTTAACATCCAACCAAGATGAACGTTCGGGAGTAGCTTCTTACGAACGAAATAGCCGTATAGGCGGATACCCATATCACGACCTTGTGCTGTGGAAGAAGTGCTCTATAAAACCAGTCAGTATTGCAAAACGCAGCATTGAGTTTCAAGACTTACGTCATGTGCTTATAAATCAATAGCAGACATGCTTTTATAAGCCAGATGGTGCAGCACTGCATTTGCTCTACGACCAATGCTAGCTTGGAGCCATATATTCTTCTCTGGATCTCATCTGGTGAGAACTCTGAGATACCTTCATCAGGGGCAATGAGGTTGCTGCTGCTGCGAACCACCATGTGCATTGCACCCATCAAGGCCGTCATTGAGACCTGGGACACTGTCAGCGGAATGAGAGCGTTCCGGAACAGACTCAGGCTTACCATAGCAATGCAGATCAGATAGTCATCGACATCCAAAGCCTTCCAGGACCCGTGGTGAAGTTTCCTGGATACAAGGCGGGTTATGAGCACTAGCCAACATATTACATACCAGATGCCAGACTCTGGCTCGAGAGTCGACATGGTAGTCCTGTGACAGTTGATAGAAGGGCTTCACTGGCCTAGCATTTACGGTATCAACCAAGAATTAAGAATCGCGATATTTCAAATGATAGGAGATGGAGCAGAGACAGCGTGTCTAGTTCAAAGGTCGCGAGGTTGGATTCTGATGCATTGGATGTTGGCGCAAAGGGTCGAGGTTGCTTGGGATCCCGTAGGTTGCGTCGGGCGTAGGGAAACAACTTTGGGTTCGGCTTAGGCCTCAGGCTACCGCTTGAGGCCGATGATCGACAAGTATGGTGTCGTTGAAAATTCGGTGTCGCTTTGGATGATCGATCTCTTAGGCATGGTGGTCTCCGGTACCCTTAAGTTCTAGATGTCAGGACGGTCAGGAGAGGGTCTGGAAACTAACGTCAAGCGTGAGCCGCTGCCGCTGGGCATGATGGCTGCCGCTTGTATTCTGACGGGCTTGCTCATTACGCCCTGTCCTGTATGGACGGAGGGTGCCTCCAGGGGACGTACTAGACGCTCTAGCGGAGGCCGTTGCACGTTAACTTCCTGTCAGCCAATTGCGTGAGTCCGGCACTTCCCGACTTTGCTTCCGTCCAATGGTGGTGTTGCAATAATTCACAAGAGCATCGCCCCTCTGAAAAAACCTCGAAATGCCAGATCAACCTTTGCAAACCTCCTCTGTTTGTTCTGATGCTGTCAAAGTCCGGAGCGTAGCGTTGAGAGCTCTTGCGTCGAGCCGACGGTGGTCTTGATGAGACATTTTCGTCCTGGAACGTCACTGTCAGGTTAGATGCTCGTATGCTATAAGGTATGTTGATGGGTGATGATTCTTTGTATTGATTAATGATGGATCCTATGTTGATATCTGTCACATTCGTTCTATCTGACATAAGCAGAGGCTATATTTCTTCGTGACAATAACTCCTCTGGTTGGCTTGGAAGGGTTTGGTACGCTAATTTCTAGTTAAACGTTAGCTGAAATTCCGTTACCAGAGACCGCTCACACTGTGTTTTAGCCTGGTTTATCTGCCTTAGCATTGACGTCCCAACACCATGACATTTAATTATTTCTGCGTAATTGATAGATTTTGCAGGATTCAGCGGTTCTGTTACTGCAAGGGCAGCCTCAATTGACCTTATATTAGTTGCAGTAAATAGCGTTGAAGTGTGAGGTGGTTTTTATCTTGAGCATTGACGCTTGGCGGAGATTGGCCCCGTACAGACCGTCAAGAACCCCTGGCTCATCTTGGCAAATGGCCTCTGGTCTAGGTCGTGATTGTATCGGGGTAGTTCTCTGCTCTATCCACAATTTGAAATGCGCCGTAAGTGCATGTGACAGGGGCTAGGCACCGGTGGAGAGTCGGGTTCTCAGCGATTTAGGCTTAGTGCGGAGTGGTGTGGAGTGGTGTGACCCAGAGTACTGGATATATGGCGCCCGGTGCATCAGGCCGACTTGACTTCTAATTCTATGGAATGTGGGGACACGGGAATAAATACCGCAGGCCCTAATGGGAAGTACCATCACCCTCTGTGCGCCACGACGTGTTTACCACGTCTTAGCTACCCAACGGCTAGCTCAGCCCTTTGTATCTGTTTCTTGGATTCGGGATAAGCCGTGTAGTGCCTGCGGTCTATTTTACCATGCCGCTGACAGCGCTGGAATAAGCCTGCGACAGATAATAATCTATTGAAGATGATTCTCGTTCATTTAGATTTCGGAAGTGTTACTTCCTCCTCGGCCCGCCATGTGTCTTTGGCTAACTGGTGCAATTCTTCGAAAAACATTCCTCAATTACCTATTCTTTAGAATCAACTAAATTTACCGACAAGAATATGGTGAAAGAGGGGGGTGTGGGCATCGTTGGCGGTGTGAACGTTGGCTTGCTGATACTAATGACTATGGGTGCGTTCCTGTCCATAGCGCTATACAACGCCATTGAACTCAACTTTCTCATCTTCGCAATCTTCAAACGGCGGAAGGGAGTATTACTTTTAGAGTCTCCTTATCGTGACCTAGGGCATTTTCCCTCACGCAATTGGCTTCATCTTCAAATTCTTCTGGGTTATCTCGTTACCTGTGTTGTCTAGCGCCCTAGTTGCGCTTGGCTGGCCATGTATAGTGATAGGGTAGTCACTTGTGCTATATTCTTGGCTCGATCTTATTGTTAAGAATAAGCGGAAGATATGATGGGTGTTATACATAATTATCTTTAATGTTGTTGTTCTGCACTTCCCTGTTATCGCCCTAGCTCTTAGTGCTGAAGCAACGCATTCGACCCACGTTATTCGTGTCTTCACCACATACGACAAGGTCCAGATCGTGAGTTTCTTCATCTAAGAGGCTATGATTTCCATCATCTATGTCTATGAGACGGTATGTTTGTTGGGGTGTGGCGGCCAGTACAATGACGGACTCCTATCAAAACTACTTGGCCACCTCATCTTTGTCAACGTCGTGGTTCTGGTGTTTGACGCCACTCTGCTAGCCACGCAGTTCACTGGACACTATGAGATATGCGACGACAATCACGGGTCATGTCTCTATTTCTATTGAACTAGATACGGCTTAGACGGCCAACGAGTATCAAGTGGATGGAAATACTAGGCCGACTGGTCGACAATGGAAGTCTGCAGAGCAAGCTCTTCTTTTGCTACACATCCAGATGCCATTACTGATCATACTGGGACCGCAGCCGAATTATTGATCTTACAGTCAGGAGCAGTATCGTCCTTTGACGTGCGACGTGCTTACAGTGTCCCGGCACAGATATTCCAAATTATCTACATCAAGCCCGGTGCAAAGTCACACAACTGAAACGACGAAGGCTTCATGATCGGCGGTCGGAATTCAGCTCTACAATCCGCAGCACTTGCGCACTTCATGATAGCTCAGTAATGCTGCCCCTTTCTCTTCCCCCTCGCTCCTTCTCCAAACCATCAGCAGTACTAGAGCCTATGCTGCATTATCAAACACGATCCAACATAGTACGCACCATGACCAAGTAATATACAAAGGCTGGAGGAATTAGGAGGGGTCGTTAAAAGAATCATGAGCTCGCTTATATTCCTTGCTGAAATGTAATTGTCTTACAGTTGGGATATTTCCACAGTCTTGGATAGCTCTTCTTTCTCGCCGAAATCAAAAGCAGGCTTAGGTAGACCACCGTAGTACTCTTTGAGAGATCTGAACTAATGCTGTATAAGTGAGGCGACTTACCTCTTCTATGATCACCATCAGACAATGTGAATCAACGATGAACATCAGCCTGTTGACTCGCCTGAATCCCAGATTATTTAATAAACTCGAGCATATTAGCGGTACTTTTGATTTAGTCGTTTTGCTGTTTTTCTCGCCCTTGTGCGGAGAGATGACCCCAGTGTCGAGGTGCGGCAAGATTGTCGTCGAGATTAGGAACAGGTAGGTAATCGTGTCGAGGGTACCTCGGCTAAGACCTTTCGCCTTACCCATCGCGTAACGTCTCCATGCCTCAGAGATATTGCCATGATGTTGGATAGGAAGCTATACATTGTTCCTCTAGGTATCGTACACCAAAGAATGCTACCTACGGCGATCCCGGTACAAGGTAGGGTGAGCGTTCCTTAGCCACTCTCAATACGTTTCGAATAGATTACAAGCATAGGGTGGGAGTCATGTGACTAGACCTGCAGCTTTTTCGCACCGCGGCGAAGTTATAGTGTATGCTGAAGTATCGCTTAGACGTTATGCATCGAAAATTGGCAATTGACGTTAACGACGAGTCAGCAGCTGCAGTCGACTGTAGTCGAATACATTCAACACGTCTCGGGAATAGCTCGCCAGAAACCATCATTGTTCCGCAGCTGCTTGAAGACTTGCTAGTTGCCCCCAAAAGTTATTGAAGATGTCACTTTTAAATACACTCGAATTATCCAAATCGATTAGGGTTGACACGACGATGGAAGGCCATCGCACTTGTCCGAATAAGGACCTGCTAAGGAACGAAACGTAGTCAGAAAGAGAAGAGGAACAACTCGCAATGGCGGACGGATTATATTCAATGACACCAATATGGCACTCGGTATTTTGATCTATCCTGAACCTCTGAGAGCACGTGACAGGCTCAATATGCTTTATCCAATGGCGTGCAGAACAGATCCTTGCTGGCCACGGAATGATTGGCCAGGAGTACCCGGCGCGCAGCTGGTCTCCATTGGTCCATTCGTGACCCAATAACTAGCAGATAGACTCAGCAGGATGACTTCCCGGCATAGATAGCGAGAGCGGTGTTTGGGCCCAGAGTGGCTGTGAAGTGCCCGCTCGAGTTGACCGTCACGGCGCTGTTGCTCTGCACGTTACAGTACTTGCCCGCAGGTAGTGACGTCTGGAGGGTCTGAGTCAGTAAGCTGTCCTCTTTATTGATGGCGACGAAGCCCTGGTTGCCCCATCCGAAGGCGATCTGGTTGTTGCCATTGTCCCACCAGTTCGTCACCCCTTGGCCACGCACGACATTGCGGAAGGCTACCATGCGCATGATCTCCGGCCAGGCGTGCTGGCACTTCCAGGAGTCCTGACAGCAGGCGTTGACGGCCCCGTCATAAGGCGGTCCAGCGTCAGTGTCTGAGAATTCGTAGCCAGACTTAATATCCGGAGCGCCATAGGGGTACGCGAGCATGAATACAGTAGCCAGGGTGTACTTGGCGTTGTCTTTGTATCTGAGAGTTTCGCCGTTGCGCTCAGTGTCGTGGTTGTCAACGAAGACGCCGGCGACCGAGCTGCTCATGTACCCCCAGCCCTCCCCGTAGTTCCTTAGGTAGGCGAGTTTTTCGTTGTTGAAGACAGGCTTGAGGTCAAAAGCGTAGCGGAACTCCTGCACGTCGCCATTACCAGTGTACTCGGTGGGCTGAACCGCTTCTCCAGCGCCGTAAATGACCTCCTGCTTCCAGTAGACGCTTGAATTGGCCAGTCGACTCTTCATATTAGCAAGGTCTTCGGTTGCTGTATGCTTGGCCGCATCGATACGGAAGCCGTCAACACCGAGGCTGAGCAGGTCGTTCATATAGCCGGCGATTGCCCCGCGGACGTAGTCTTCATTGGTGTCCAGGTCGGCCAGGCCGACAAGCTCGCAATGCTGGACATTCCAGCGGTCAACGTAGTTGGTGATCTGGGAGGTACAGTCGTCGAAGTCGTAGAATGAGTAGAGGCCCGGGTAGTTGTACTTGGTGTACGACGAGCCGCCGGTGCCGGTGCCACTGCCCGCCGTCATTTGGTTGATGACAATGTCAATGATCACCCGCACGCCGGCCGAATGGCAGGTTTTAACCATGTTCAGGAAGAATCCTCGGTCGCCCAGGCGTCCCGCGAGCTTGTACGACACGGGCTGGTACGATGTCCACCACTGCGAGCCTTGTATGTGTTCGGCGGGTGGGGAGACTTGGACATATCCGTAACCCGCAGTACCGAGAGTTCTGGCGCACTCCCTGGCGACGGAATCGTAGTTCGACTTGAAAAGAACAGCAGTGACGTCCTTAGTGCTGGGCGGAGAGGCGTTGACGACAGTCGGGGCCATTATAATGAAATTCGAAGCTATCAACGATGCCGCAACCGCGAGGGTCTTGGATGTCATGATGACTTCGTCGTGAAAGGCTGCTTTTGGAAAGCGTGTTTCTTAATGCATATACAGAAGATGCTGCGGACTACTGACGAATCGTTATAAGAGAAGGAGGGGGAATCTATCTATTATATATTGTAGCGGTTTCTTCAGGAGGAGAAAGCGTCTGGTTCGACGTGTTGTTCGTCTAGAGATCAGAGACGTCCCGCCTATAAGGGATGTCTTATCTCAGGTAGGCTAACTACATCTGGCTATTCAACCGTTACAACTAGTAAAAATTGGAGGGTAAATCGCTTTTATGGGTACCTTTTAGCGGCTGCCTAGACCCATGAGGTGTTACAACTGCAACTAGTATGGCCACTTCTAATCGAGATGCGTGAATGAAACCTACTACGGAAGGTGCTTACGTAAACACCGCATAGACACATATATAGAGATGGACAGAAAGTATGCTGTATATGGTAACGCACACGCAGTTATAGACCCAGGATACCTAGAATATAGGAAAGAGAAGATAAACCTCATGTAGGCGTTTAGAGTCTTCGAAACATTAAACCACTCCCTGACGCCTAATGTCTAGGACGACCACAATATTTGTTGCGGTTGAGGATAAACCGCACCTTGGGCAGAAGAAATTGTTAGGCACTGAAGATTGATTGAATACTAGCTATTGTGGTATATATATGTGTGCGTGAAGCGATGTAGTACAGAGCATGGGTAAGCGATGCTGGACCGAGCCATGGTGTTGAGGTTAACAGGGTAAACCGCGACATCATATCAAAGCAGAGTAGAAAGGAGAGGCTAAGTTAGTAGGCACGGGTCGATGGGTTCTAGTTCTTCTATCGCCATATCCTTGGGCACTTCTGCCACTTGATAGAGTGGTGAGCGTGTTTTCTACTAAATTTTCGCATCCGGGATGGGTTCCTTCGGAGGGGGTTGCTTCTAGGTAACGTGTGCATATCTGTCTATAGCTTGGTCGCCCGTTTACAATCCCCCCCTATGCCAATTAATATTCATACCTACGAAACGGTGAGCAAGCGCAGTGCAGTGGATTGATTGAGTGTAGCGTCGAGTATCTAAACAGGATAAATTACTAGTAAGTTTTCTGAATGTCCTGCGCTAAGAAGCTATCATGCTTCCTCTCATGGGGAGACTTTCAGAGTCTATGTTACGACCCTTTTAAGAGTGCAAAGCATGTTCGACAGTCTACGAAGTGATATTGGTACGGCGAAAGGTGTCCAAAGAGAAGTAATATATACTCTAGCGCGGTGTGGCAGGGGTGAGAAGACAACGATGTTGCAGACAGATACAAGTAAAGATCGACGGCGTGATCGAGGTGTCGTAAATCGGGGCTGCACGCTGATAATCTGGGACCGACGTAAGAGTCGGACTGAATGCTTGAGTCTGGCTTTGGAAAACTGTGTGGTGTCAACATACTGTTGTTGTGATTTTTCCATGTCTGCACCGGGGGTTTCCGTCACGTAGGGGGGGATGTTACCTGTGGCCTGTTATTGCCAAGTATTATAGGAGCAGCTTGATGCAGAATGACATCAGACATCGCGTGTTCGGGAGCGTAGGCGCCCTCAATGTTGTCAAGATCCGAACTTCAAGCTTCCATCCAGCGATCAATGCATGGAAAATCCATTTTTTAACAATCACTTGGAAAACAAAAGTGATTATTGTCACCTTGCCTCACGGTGTATGCTTCGAAGAAAGTCTCCAGATTGTACACACCAAAAGTCCATGTACGTCAGAAGATGCCTAACTCAAATAGGACAATATCTCGCAGGATCCGCTTCCATGTCAACATATGCATACAGGTGCTGGAAACCCTTGGTCAGTCTCGGATAGGAGATGCCCGAACATCTATCTCGCTGCGCTGACCGTTTGCCGCAAGCCCAAGGAGCATACTATGCCATTTTGATATAGGCCCCTGTCCGTCACCTAGTTGCCGCAATGGTTATGTGACATTTTGCAATGGAATTGGATACGACGTCACATCACGGCCGTACCACCGTACAACAGAGCCCTCACTAACCGAGCGCATTAAGTTCGGCGATTGTGGAGCAGTTTCCATAAAACCGCGAAAATTAAGGGAAGATGGATGAATCACGACTGGAATGTGTTCGAGGAAGGTTTCGAATGCGATATTGCTTGAGGATGTCGTCAGGGCAGACATTATCAGATTACATCGCAAAAACCTGTATGAGGGCGAATCACTTCATCTCAATACCGGAACCACACGGAAGATATCTAGCAAGTGTGCATGATATTCGCGCTACGCATTAGACTATCACACCATTGCAATGAGATGGGGGCCAAAATGCGTTGCCATCAACGAGATGCAATCTTTTCCGCCATCGCTTAAAATGACCAAACTCTCAGGCTTCCCAAGCTAGTACATATGAGGCAGAACAATAGCAGCTAAGATTCCTTTCTTATTATTTATGCGTGGGATTGAAGAAAACTAATATCCTACCACATGCCCTGCGGTCGTAGGACCGGATATCGTGCCGCACGGCAGATGCAGGCGGTCCTCAGGTATAAATAAAAGTATTTCCTCTCCAATCCTTGATATTAACCTACGTTCCCAAGCATCAGCGGGCAAAAGAAAAAACATTTGCAACATATCGATCTCATCGTACGTTTTTCCAATAACGTAGATACATTGACATTTGCTGACGCTCAGCCAGTCCACGAACAATATGAAGCTGCTTCACACTTTCATCGCTACCGCCTTCTTAGCTACTGTCTCATGTCTTGAGATGGGCGACCTTGTCTCAGGCCAAGTCTACAATGCCAGCGACGTTGCGGAGCTACTCAAAGAAAACCCCCTTGACCCTGGCAACGGCGAAGGCTACGAATTCCCCGAAGGCGAAGGCCCCACCTTGCCTGAGGACGCGGAAATTCTGGAGAACAAATACTGTTATGTCCAAGCCTTCTCCGGGAATCATTGCGACGGCAAAGCGGGTTCTAAAGTTAGAATGGAGAGAACGAACGGTAAACATGTATGCATCAATACTCAAAACCGGCATTCTTTTTGGTATTCGAATGGCTGCGGACGAGGAAACATGTGGGCCTTTTCCCGCACGAGCTGCAGTACCATAGGGATTTATGGTTATATCCGGATTTGGCACATTCCTGAGAATAACAAGGCAGCATGCCAAAACGTCGATCTGGAAGGTAACAATTGGCAAAGAATGCGATGGCAGAAGTTTTAATAGGGTCTCTATTGAAGCCGAGATAGCAAATACTTGCTTTGTGGGGTGCGGCAATTGATAGGTGTGGGTGCGAGTACGTAGACCTGGGTTGGAGGAGTGCTTTTGCAGTTGCATCCCTCTATTCTCTTTCAATTGTCTTCCATTCGCTTCTTGTAAGAGAATAGAACTCTGAGTTTTCTCGTCGACGTGCCATCTCCTGATTCTCATCGTCAGCCGTGAGCGTATATTATCATGGATCACTTTGTTACTCGCTCGCAGGCCTCCCAGTCGACCCAGTCGACCCAGTCAACTCAGCTGGCAGCTGACAGCTATCACCATGCCGGGTCTCGTACGGCAGCTGTCATGGCGGAGAGTTTTGAGAGCTTGGATGACTCGCCATCCGAAGTGGAGTCCGTCGCTCCTGCGCACGACTTTCCCGGCGAGCTGCAAGCGTCAGGAGTTCGTTTTCCTATTATATGGACCCGCCTTTGGCGAGGCAAACGTCTCCTCGATTCGTCGCGCGTTGGTTATCGAGTCAAAGGCAGAGCTCAATTGCTCGGCAAGCGGGAGGTGGCATCATTTTGGCGATACGGCGCGGAGCTCGAGTACGTTGAAAATAACGGGAAAAAGACGATTCTGTTTCTCTGCCAGGCATGCCACACGCGGAATCGCTGCTCCACGGAAACCCAATCGAGCGCACCTTCGAGCGTATGGATGCAAGGCTTTTGCGCTGACAGATGATACACTGCGTGGCAAGAGTAGGCTCCAACGCCTCGACCCAAGGGCATGGATCGGGTATCTGGTGGGATACCGGTCCTCGAACATCTTCAGAATCTGGGTTCCATCCATCGGGAGAGTCATCACCACTCGAGATGTACGGTTCGACGAGGAAAATATATTCAATGGCAAGAAGGTGGACCTCATGGACAATCTGATGCATAACACTCTAGAAGAGATTGCCTCATGGATCAAGACAGTCGAGCTACCGCCTACTCGTCCGCAACACGAGGCGACCGAGTCGTTCTACGAAGATGAGACGATCTATTCCTCCAGCTCCGATGAACGCACAACCCAAAATCGGAAGCACGATCAACCGTACCCGACGCCTCCCATCACGCTGCCACCTGTGGCACTCCTGGCGCAGCTTATGGCAGGAGAAGAAGAGCGGGACTACCCTCTCTCCGCAAGCTCTTCGAAAAGGTGCCCCTGGGCCGCCGCATTGATGGCAGGCGTTCAAGCAGGGGCTATTGGCAAGGTCGCAGGGAAAACGTTGGACAAGGCACAGATAACGCGACGGCTAGCCAGCGGAAAGAAACCACACCGCAGCCAATTGCCAGAGCCACCGACCTGCCAAGGTAAGCTCGAGGATCACTCGCTACATGAAATGTGGAAGGAAGCCGAGCGCTCCCACTTGGACAGTCATCGAGAGATGAATTCTTGCACTGAAGTTCCGACTAGATCGATTAAGCTAGCAGGCCACCAGATACTGGACTGCCTGTGGGTGTATACCTACAAACTCGATAAGCACCACCGCTTGCAAAATTGCAAGGCCCGTCTTGTAGTGAGAGGCGACCAGCAACGGCATCTCACCACGCAAGACACGTACGCTGCGACGCTGGCAGGGAGGTCTTTCCGCATGCTCATGGCAATTGCCGCCCGATTTGATCTCGAATTGATACAATACGACATTACAAACGCCTTTGTCCATGCGAAGGTAGATCTGGAGATCTACATGCGTATGCCGCCTGGCCATTGGAAACCTGGGACTATCCTTCGTGTTGACAAGGCACTGTATGGCCTTCGAATATCGCCCCTTCTTTGGCAGCGCGAATTCACCTCCACCTTGCAGGCTATGGTCTTTACACAGGTGCCGCATGAGCCCTGCTGCATGATCAAAGGAGAAATCATCATCTTTTTCTACGTCGACGATATCATCGTGGCGCCCCACCAGGGTGCACAATCCGAGGCTGCCGCCGCAATAGCTCAACTCCAACAGAAATACAACTTCACTGGCGGAGAAGACCTGTAGTGGTTTTTCGGAGTTGAGGTGATTCGAGACAGACAAGCGCGAAAGATCTGGCTATCTTAGACCTCCTATATCGAGAAGATTAGCCGGCTTGCCGACAAGAAAAATATGCGGCACGACACGCCAATGGCTAGGGTGGAACTGCTGCCCCGAACAGGCCTTGCCAGTCCATCTGAAATCAACCGGTACCAACGCAAAGTCGGTTCCTTACTGTACGTAGCGGTCACTACCCGACCTAATATCGCCTTTGCGACTTCCCGACTAGCTCGATTCCTTACGAATCCTGGAATGGAGCACCAGGCTGCAGCTGACCGAGTGCTTCTCTACCTACGGGAAACCCGATCACTGGCTTTAAGCTTAGGGGGTGGAGACGTCCTAGAAGTGGCAAGCGATGCCTCCTTTGCGGACAATACACTGGATCGAAAGAGCTCTTAGGGGTACGCGATTAAGCTATTTGGCGGGCTGATTGCATGGAAAGCAAACAAGCAAGACACCGTCACGACGTGAACAACTGAAGCCGAGCTTTTAGCACTCACACAAGTGGCTAAAGAAGCCTTGTTTACGTTAAGATTACTCACGCAGTTGAACGTAAACCTGGTGGACGAACGGGTTACGATTCACTGCGACAACAAACAGACTATCCACCTCGTTACGGAAGAAATATCTCGGCTGCCAACCAAGCTTCGCCATGTAGATATATGCAATCACTGGCTACGGCAGGAAGGAACCCGCAAGAAAATCAACGTTCAGTACATCGCCTCGAGCGAGATGCTCGCGGATGGGTTGACAAAGGTACTGCCTGCTGCTAAATGGGCGAGATTTGTTGAACAACTAGGAATTGGGGAGGTGAAAAAACGGATTTCGGCCCGAGAAATGGAATTCCCGGACTTGGAACGTTGATTGGAAAGCCTTAACATCTACACAAGGGCATCTTGAGGATATCCAGCTTGAAGAATAACTTCAACCTGAGGGGGTGTGTCAGATGGCCCACCTAAGAACGTATCAGCTCGGTGGGTATGAATTAGGTTGGAACGATTCAGAGTATCAGACATGCCCCTAGGAACTAGATATATACATGCCTTGGATAGTATAGAAAAACAAGACATCCTGTTCTAGGTTTTCACTTACATTTTCGACCTGAGAAGGCTAAAATCTGACAATATCAGCAACACGTACAGTATGCTATTATCAAGTAAAGGGACCTCTACGATACCCCACTCTATAGCCTACCATGCCTAGAGGTCGACCCAGAAAGTATCAGAGCCAAAATCAGGCTACAGAGGCTGCTCAACGTCTTCGCCAGCAGCGATACCAATGCCAGCGCCATGCGCAGGCGCCTCCTGAATTCATCCAGTACGAGCCTATACCTACGAATATAACAGCGAACACCACACCAGGCCTTAGTGTTCGAATTAGCAATGATATTCCCATCCCACGCGACTCTCTTGCTGAGCTTGAAAAGGCTCCAGATTGAACTTCACACCACATTGCATGATAAAATCCTTCTGGAGAAGGTGCTCATTGGCACCGATTCAATGACTGTGGTTTAGATACAAGGAATATGCCTTTCATATCCCTTCCACCCGCTAGAACCACCGTGCACACTTTTCCGACTTCAACATGCGCAGTCGCCTTTCCACAATAGAACTAATAACATGTCGCATCGACGAGCTCGGTATCCACGATACAGTCGTTTCCAGCCGCTTCGCACTGTCCTCTATGTTAGCAAGCTTTCGTCAAACCTAACGTACAGGTATATTATTCTCAAACTCACGTCGGCAACGCAGCAAACATGGTCGAAAACGTCGGAACCGGGGACGGCGCAGTAACCACGGCCACCACAGTCGTTAGCAGCTGTGGTATTGCAAGACTGAGAGTCGACATTAGTTGGGTTGATCTGGACAAAAGGTTGAGCGTCTTACGCCGTCGAGATAGCGCTGGCCCCTTGCAAGGTTGACTACCACGGAAAGCAGAACGACGACCAAGGACGTAAAATGCATGTTGGTTGGCGAGAAGTTGATTGTTGTTAGATGGAACGAGGTGCTAACTCTACGGCTGGTGTTCTAAAGGTTGGCGATATGTGCCTCTTTATATTTGCACCGTTCAGTCAAGTACCGCTCCTTCTAAGCAGGTGGTGCGAGTAAAATGTGATATGTACATTAAATGAGCAATGATCACCGACAATAACGGAACGGGTGCTGTCCGACAGTAGTCTGCCGTTCGAAACCTGTCATACCATTTCCTTCGGAGGGATCCATCCGCATTGTTTCCACTCCTTGGATAGTAAAGATTCATCCAATATCAGACAGTATTCTGAAGATCTTTCCACGTGACAAGCTTCCGGAAAATCCATTAGTGGAACAACAAGCAGGTGTACTACGCTGCCGAGAACAGCCTTTCTAAAACGAGTTGCATCCTTCGAACGAACGAGATGCATCCTTCGAAGTCATACGTTATGACGAATGTATGTTATGCACACTTCGTATCTATCCTTGCGGTTTTAACTAGAGTGGGAATTTACGATGTATAGTTTGTTTTAGCGTCGAGCGAAGGATCAATTCCGGCACTGGCGGCACAGCCCCCAATCCTCAGATCTGGGGTACACCATACACCGTACTGCTTCCAGTTGCAGCCCTGAGTTAAGGCGATAGGGTTAGCACAGACCAGCACAGACCCGTACGAAACAGGCGAACCAATGAGAGCCCGAAAAACTGCACTGAGGGCTGGGTGGAGTTGGCCATGTATCTTAGGGTAATCGGGCTAGCGCGAATATTCCATTCCTAACAAATCCGACCTGGAAACTGGACTCAGTACTGACTCCAGTTGCCGCCCTGGGATAGGGTCGCTCATTCACCGCTACTCGGGGGATTAAGGGCTATAGCCCATAATCCCCTCGCCCATTGATGATAGGGTGCTGTCGGCGTGGGAATTGGTCATCTCCAACCGAAGCCTCTGCCGACCCAGACCGGTCTTCTTGAAGAGATTGAAGTATGTCGTCTATCATGTGCTGAATGTATGGACCTTGCTCGTTTATGTACTCTATCGCAAACGTATCCGTAGTGCTTTGCAAGGTTTGCGCGACGCTCCCGAGATCTCTCTTGATGCGTGCCAGCTTTAACTCCAGCATGAACCTGTCGCTTGGGTGTTCTGGAAGCGTCCACTCGGTCTCGGGACGCTCGACATCCTGTTGTTCTACCGTTCGGCTATTTGCTCTTACAGATGGGTCTGTAGTGCTTTGCGAGATGGGATGCCTCGCGCTTGGACGTTCTGGAAGCGTCCACTCGGTCTCGGGACGCCCGGCATCATTCGACGCCTGTTCTACCATTTGGCTATTTGCTATTACAGACGGCTCTGTAGTGCTTTGCGAGATGCGCGCGATGCTCTCGACATCTCCGTTCTCTAGCACGAGCCCCGCACTTGGTCCTTCTGGAAGCGTCCACTCGCTCTCGGGATGCCCGACATCGTCGATGGCGCTCTCGGAGTGCTGGCGCATCTCGAGCCCATTCACGCGCTTGAGCCTCGACTGTGAAGTCACACGGGATGCACATTGTCTTCTTCGCATCGCCTCGGGCACGTCCGTCTTGCGCCCTCTCTTCTTGGGGACGGCATCTGGGGCAGCGAGTCAGAGCAGTACGCAAGCAAGGCCGTCGGGTCATGCCTACCGTAGATGCAAGGGCAGTTGAAGACCTGACAGGCTTCGCAGGTCGGGCGTGTCCTGTTGCACTTGATCTGGCGGGGTCAGACGACGGAGAGAATAGTGAAAGGCAGACGGTGTACCTTGCGTTTGCAGCAGCTCTTGCAGTTCATGGCCTCGCGCGGCTCGTTGGAGACGCGGCGGGTCGGCAGGCGGTCGATGCCGATCTGAGGGCTCGACATTTGGGAGACCGGCATGTGGCTGAGGACTTGGGTGGACATTCGGTGCTTTTGGGCAGGCGCGATGGAGAAGGCACATGGCTGGCGGTGGTGACGCGGGCGGCGAGTTCAGCGTCTAAGTGCGAGCGGGTCCAAATTAAGGCATCTGGCATCCGCACAGGCAGTGGGGAACGGCCAGGGTGCTGCTCACGAGCGGACAGGGTGGGAGCCGATACGAATCAGTAGCGTCGTATTAAGATACCTAGTGGGGCGAGCGGTTTAACGATCGGGCGCATGCACGCTTGGCCCCAGCCGCAGACCTTGCGAGTGATTGCTGGAAACCGCCGGGCTGCAGGCTGAAGCCCAGCAGGCGCTGCGCCGCAGACTCCAACTTAGCTACTGATAACGTCAAGCTTTTGAGCGAGAGAGCAGAACGCTGAGCAGACACTTCAAACAGGACATGAGGACACCCTCGCTCGTCCGCCGTTGATCCCCTGTCCGACCCATCACGTCCTTAAACGGATCTATATACGCATGATACAGAGTACCAAATTGCAAGCCTAGGCTTAGTAAATTAAACGCAGTGAGTGTTACTGGAAGAACACTATTGTTGCAAGCACGTACAAAGGTGGAAAGGGACTGCATGTCTTAAGGATATAGTTGGTATACATTTATATAGTAATAGGTTCTTGCATAAGCACTACAATTATTAGGGTTATAGGGAGGTGCTTTAGTTTGATCTCTAAGAGTGGTAAGAAGCTTAGATCGTTAATGCTTATAAGCGCTAGTAAGGGTAGATCAGAGATGTGATGGTACCTACGCTTCTAAGGCTGCATGCCGTCCTGTCATTAACCATGGACCTTCCGTCTCTTCGCAATGCCATTTAATCTATGCAATACCATTTAATCTGGATGTCCATGGCAAGGGTGTGGCAGGTGCGGGTCGCCCATCTACTTAGCTTGTGGTGGCAAATTTGCTGCACGTTTCTTTCAATACAGCGGCATAAGCATCGCCGCCAGCGTTGTGTTTAATAGACTGCTATTTCTGCTAAGACGCAGGCTTCAGAATGTAGGTATCATCTTTCACGGATACTAATCAGCCAGCTATGCATGCATGTCCCTCATGAAGACTCGACACCCCATGCTACTAGCAACTTCACCACCGCCTCCTTGCCTCTAGCTAAAGCCGCCTGGAGCGCGTGGCCGTGGAATCCACCCTGCGCGTTGATGTTGGCGCCTTTGTCGAGCAGCACCTTCACCACTGCCTCGTAGCCTTCAGCTGAAGCCGCCTGGAGCGCGTTGCCGTAGTGTCCACCCTGC